CCTCTCCCTCGTGGCCCTCGTGCTGCTGAATTATGCATTTTCTGCAAACAGAACCGTGGCTGCAAACAATCTCTATGCAGGCAGTGTGCCGTCTCTTGGAACAGCGTTAGAGTGACCTGCACACATCAGCTGAAAACCCCCCCAGACCCCATCTATTCCCCCATCAAAGAATATCCCTAAACTTCCCGTCAGCAGGCGCGTCATTATGTTCCAGTAATGATGAGCTCACTTTCTGTCATTGCTGTGTACTTCCCTATCGGCTGAGTGCATTTCAGACTTCAAACATATTTCATGTCATCATCTTTGCTAATGATCCATCGTTGGTTATTTAAGTTTATACATTCATTTATTAAAAAGGTGTGAATTTCATATTATTCTGATAACAGCTCATACAAATAATTGTCAAGTACAGAATAGAGGGTTTACCAAATCAGAATGTAAACACACTTACCAATAAATGTCCGTACACACCTCCTCTCGCCGTACACTTCCCACAACTGTGACGAGAAAGATAAAAACAACGAATGAACACACATCTAATTAAATCAGCAGAATTAACATGCATTGTGGGTGGATTGAGATCACTTTTAAAGCGTACAAAAGCAACACGGTACAATGAATAGAGTGCTGGTTTGACAATGACACAAGCAAATCAAAACAATGATTAAACTGCATCATTGAAACAAAGAACGAGAGTGTGTATATCCACTCATAAGCTTCTGAGATGTTTATAGTGTAGAAATGTGATTATGTACCTTGATCTTACAGTCCATGGAGGACGAGAGCAGAAGATGACCAGAGCTAGGAAATAGTCGGATGGCACTGACACCCTGTGAACAAAAGAAGACATGCAATCGTGAGTAAGCTACTCTAACTAATCATTACTACAGGTACAAACACCATTGGTGAAGCAATACCATTTGACATCAGTGTGATATTTAATCAGCTCCTACAGGAGACATTATTAGTTTAATCATCATATTGAGTGCAGGCAGAGAGTCTGTGCAGAACACTCTGCTCCGTATTAATCAGAGCAATTAGGATAACTTCCAAGTTACTAAACTTTCCCCAACAAATGTCGTAAAACTTGGGGACACCGTGCGGGCCATCCTGCATCTATTATCTCGACATCAGCACATCCAGGCGCTTATTATCTTTTCAAAACGCTTTGCGTTTCAAATGAGACTCTGAAGGCTGTAACTTCCTGCTCAAAGCGGATAGGAGCCAATTTAAAACTTGAGTGATTTCTCTCTCCCTGAAGCACACTAGCAGATCTGACACTTCAATCCAGTGTTTGCTTTTACATTTGAATTATAATGACTGTGTTTTGAAAGAAACATAATAATCTTGGATATGTCAGGGACAATTTGCTCGTATATGGCTTTGTTATCATTTGATTCAAAAGTACTCGGGAGACTTTTACTGTCTGCCTCATAATATTCTTACAAGGACTGCATAATGGAATATTCTCTCTGTGTATGCAGACACCTGTTTGACACTGCTATCATTTCACATTCAAAATCATTTTAAAACAACATTTGAATACTTATCTTTAGTAAAATCTGCTTTGAGAATACTTATATATGCAAGGTTTATTAACTGGTACACAAAGAGGCCATTAATGTACACAAAGACACACAAATGTATCTTTGTCTCTTCCCACTGACCTTGGTGTGTCCGGACCAGACATGAATCTGTTTCTTAGGCAGGTAACATTTGTCCGGAGCCTCTGAAGAACGCAGGTTGATGCCCACATCCTGTGGGACGTGGAGATAGGACCTGCCCTGGTAATCATACATGTCTTTAACTGGGGGGGTGAACAAAAAGAGACAACAAATAATTACAAAGCAATCCTGCAGCATTTGGATACACGTTTAAAAAGGGACACCTGGCTCTTGGATGTGCTAATTTGACAAAAAGTCTTATAATACTTAAAAGGAAATGTTAAAATCAATCATTCCAACTAGGCAAACGTCATCTTCCAAGAAAGACTGTCCATACCATGGAGAACAGTTTTCTCTTCTGCAGGAGCTTCTTCCTCGCTCCTGCCCTTCTTCTGCCTCTTGGCTGTGATCTCATCCAGCTCTTTCTGCTCTTCCTGTAAAAGAAAATCAATTCACAATCTGATATTTACCAAGCATATTAGTTATGGGAGACATCACTGAAGATATAACGTGCCGAGTTAAGCCATGTTCTCACATATGCATGCCATAGCGTTTTTTTGGTTAGGTTAAACAAAGCATTACCTCTGATGGCTTGGCCCCGTCTTTCTCATCTATAAATTTCGCCCATGGTCCAAGGAACTCTTCAATTTCTCCTGCATCTCCACCTTTGATCTTTTTCCTTTTCTCTGTCTTCTTTGTTCCACTCTCAAACACAGTGAGCCCTGGAGGAAGAGACACCACACATTATCATTGTTAATCTCCCCAAATAGGTACTTTATGCATGATAACACTTCATAAATAAAGTGAGATGTACCTTTATTTTTCTCCGCCTCATCCACTGCGCCAATGTAGCTATTAGTGGTGGGAGTTACCTGGTGTGTGTCAACTGATGGATCTAAAGCATAACCTACGGATAGAGAGGGGAAACGGTCATTCAGATTCAGGGTCAATACATTGACTATCATTTAAACCACAGAGGTCATAGATGAGCTTACCAAAGGTGGAGAAGGTCCTCCTTTGCGATTCAAACATGAAGTCGTTGAGGTGAGCAGGTTCTGCATAGCCAGATAACATGTTCCTGGGGGCGGACATCTGCTGGCTTTTAAACGGGTTCATCGGCCCTAACTGAGAGGAAGAAATACAAAGTCATTAATAACACAACCTTTTTACGAATGGACCCTCGCAAAGGAAATTATGTTCAAACATGGTCCTCATACATACATTTCTAAGCATGACTTCAATTCCAACCGACTTATTTATTAACCATATTTTACATGGATCAAGAAATAAGTACTAGATTGATTCAAATGAGAAATTGTAGCATTAAACGGAAGAAATAAGGATAATGGAGGAGATGTGACATCAACATAATCATTCTTTTTAAATCAGAAATGATGTATTTGTGTGACATTTTGAATATTAGAACTGGTTGATATTATCACATATAAGTATTATCTTGGATATGGTAGTGCTAAGCTGGTAGAGGCATTTGTCAATTGTTTCTCAGCTATAGAAATGTATGCAAAAAAACAAATGTCTTTAAAAATTCACGTTTAATATTATTCTACTGCACTTGACCTATCCCTAGATGTCATTTACTAATTACCAAACTTACCTCTGGTGCAAACAAGGTTTCATATGTCGGGTTAAACGTGACTTCTTTCAATGAAGGGTCCAGGTGTGTGCCAGTCTCCACCGCTTCCTGAAGAGAAGAGGTACCAAAAGAATCTCACTGTTTGACTAGCAGTACATTGATTACAACATTGATGTTTTAGTGTACAAGCTGTTTTTTCATAATTCACATTTCATTCAGTTGTTCAGGTCTATACAATCATTAACAGTACATTTCAATGTTCTCTTCCACCCTTCTGTAGTTTTAAATGAAATCATAAATCAATATATTAAACATTTTGTGGAGAGGCAGGACCTTTAAACTAGCTATAAAATAAATTATGAACAAGAACAAGACGGTTATGGGGCTGCAACTCAATAATACTCAAACAACGGGGGCAATCCACTTCAGACAAATTATGGTCGTATTTGTTTAACATACATTAACCATCTTTTAAAAAAGCTTCCCTGTTGCCGTTTTGGCACTAGCTGCTGAAAAACTACATAAAGCCATTTCAAAAACGTCATATTTATGAATGAACTGTTAGTCGGTACAACGTGAGACCAACATGCAATGCTTTTGCTCTACCCCTAAAGTTTCCCGCTAACCGCTGCTGGTTTTACTCGTGACGTTTACAACTTACAACTCCACACAGAAAATAGTTATTCATAGAGTCTCTTTCCTTATCAATTGAGACAGTTATTCTCATTATTATATTCAGGCATTGCGTGATTTATAGTAGCTAACTTTGACAAACTAATTTCAACGTTTAGCTAATGTTAGCTAGCTTTGTTAGCTTACCTTAACGGCGACCTCGGGAGCGAGATCGAGAAGAGCCACAGACATTGTGGGTGCAGACTTGAGAGGTTTAAGGTGAGCCGTGGCATCCGGGTTCGCTGGGTCCACTTTCTGAACACCAAAATTTGATTCGGACTCATTTTCTGAATCAGAACCGCTATCGTACGAAACGAGGGAAGCTATGGTGGCAGCCATCTTGGATGTTGTGAATTCGCCGGAAGCAGATGGGCGTTACTTCCGTTGTGAAAAAACACATTTTTTTCATCCGAACATGTGACATTTACACGAAAAAGAACATTTATAAAAGGACTTGACTCTACTATTAACAGAATGCTACATTCAACATGGTAGCAGGACATGAGGTTATTAAAAATAGTTTAACAAAATAAGAGAAAAACATGAAGTGCAAACATTTCAGATACAAAAATAGAGCTGCAACAATTAGTCAATACATTGTTTGGATGGTATGCAGATAATGAGGACTAATTGCTCACTTTTGATAAATGATCATTTAGTCATTTCTAAACACAAAATCCTCTCTGCTTATGAAATTGGAGGATTACCTTTGACCTAATTAAATGTATTTTGACCAAAGTGACACTTTGACTATTTTTACATAGCCTATGTATTAAACAATTGATACAGAAAGATTACGATACATATCAATCATATTTATCTACGCTTGATATAAATATTGGTTGCAACATGGTCTGCTATATTGCTCGGTATCGTCATTGACTTTTGCAATTTATTATTTAATGTTGTCAATGTGATACCATCAAATCATTGTGCAAGAGATTAATTAATTATGATGTGATTTGTATGTACAGTGAGGGTTGAAGTAATCTCTGAAATGGATTGGACAGCACAAAATGACGGTGAGTGATAACTAGCCAATACAGCATGCGCGCATGTTGACCGAGAGCCTCCCACGAGCACAGCAGCAGTTGCATGGAACGCTTTCTCGCGCCCTAACAATAGAGTGGTAAGTACCATTATCACCGGTTAAAATGGGGACATTTTCTTGTGAATAAACGTAAATTCTGACCGGTTACTTTGGAGAGAATATTTTTGTCGCATATGGGTAAAACTGACGGACATTTTTGTGTTGCGAAACCTGTTGTTTGCCTGACCGGACCAGGTTTGATGCCAATTTCAACTAAATCTACCCTGAGATTCCCTTTGGAAAAAGGTTCCTGGATTCTCCTCCGCCGCCGCCTCTTCCACCAGGAGTGCATTTGATATCAGAGACAGTACAATCATGGATCCGACCCGGGGATTTAAATTCTTGGACACGGTGGCATGCTCTACAGCTCAGTGAGGATGGGAAGAAAATAAGAGGATTCTTAACAAACGTATCAGGTAATTATTTGAACACTGTGTACTGAAGTCGCATTTTTCACTTGTAAATGTGACTTTAGTAAGGTAACGTTATTGCACCTCTGCACAACAGAAACAAACTGCCTTAAAACCCAGTCACCATGTTGGAACACTAGATATTTACCGGAGCGGATGGACAAATAACGGTCTTAGTAATAACACACTGCCTGGTCGTCTCTGACCGCCACGTTATTAACCCGGTACACAGGTGACTAATGTGGCAGTGTTGGCTACGTTAAGACGCCGAAGTAGTCCAAACCGTTAAAAGTACCAACATTATGTTGAATAATAAAACATGAACGAGACACTTTCTAACGGGACCGCTTGTAGGCTGATACATTGCAAAGCTCCACATCTGCAGGAGCTCACGCAGCAGCGCCTTGACATATTCAGTCCTAGCAATATCATGTTGGTGAGAAACCGGAGAGCAAATATTTGCATGGGATCGCACATTATCTAACGTTATAGAAACATGCCGCATATCTCATCTTGCAGTTTACATTCTACGTGGGGTCGTGGAGTACCAGGTTGGTACAGTAAGATCAGGCGAACCGCTGGCTCGACCTGATTTAATTTCCCCACTAATAATGCATTAACTTGCGGAGAGGATAGGGGCTGGGGTCTATTCCAGCACCGCTTGGTTTGCAGTCATGGGGGATGGTAACCTCCAACCCAGTGAGAATCATGCTTTGTGAAATTCGAAACCTTCTTTGTACTACTTCAAGTACAGCAAGAAAAGTGGGCATGGGGAACTGTTAGTGATCAGCTTTTATAAAGGGTGATTTTGATTCGTTCTATTACATGAGGCCAGCTCGTCTTGTGCTTTTCATTATAGGGCTTACATTAAATTGACCACCTTTTCTGCATGTCCATTTAAACCCAATCAATGAGAGGGTCTTAGGATGGTGCAGGAAACACTCTTGTGTAAATTGAAGCAAGCAATATATTTCATGGCTTGTCTTAAAAATGCAGTAGTAAAATAAAAGCAGCAAGTAGTGGAAATTAGTGTCAAGATCTATGGTTGGTGATGAATGAATCATCAGCTGCAGGGCCATTGATAAAAGTAGGTACTGTATACTGCGTTCCTGCTGCTTTGACAGTTGATCAGCTTGTGCCTGTGATGTATTAAATGTATCTTTTAAATGTAGATGGTGTAGTAAAGGCATGCAATATGTATGAGCAAAAGGATTTTACTTATTCGATTACTTTATAATTAAGTTAAGGAATTACTTTCCCCAGATCTTTGTGTATCTCAAGAGGAACTGCTTTAAGTCTAGACAACATGTCAATATCAATAAACAGAAACAGCTGATCCTTAAAGCTAAATGTAGCCACACAGCTCTTCACACCACTCTATCTGGACTGTGAGTCAATGGCATTTCGTAGAAAACATTATCTTTCATTTGTCCCTTTACATTTTTTTTTGTTGAATAAATAACAGGCAGAATTAGTATGGATTATTGTGTGAGCTTGATGATAAGCCTAGATTGTTTATGTAGAAAGTATAAAGGTCTGTATGTGTAAGCAGCCCTGGACACAATACTCTCTGAGAGTCCTTGCAGCTGTTACATTTATCAGTCTGTATGGCATCCAAACTATCACATGACTGGGTGGAAGCTATAGCTAAGTTTCACAACAGCTCAGAGGGAGCTTATATGTGCATCCAACATTTTCCATATGGGATGAATTTGGAGTTGCCTTCTAAACATTATCCAATGCCCAAAATGTCATTTTCAGGACCAGTGATCAAATTCTCCCTTGCTCAGCTCTGAGTGGATGTATGTTGAAGTATGCCTGCTGTGGCTTGAAATCTCTGCTTCTGTTTTGTTTGAGGCAAGTTCTCCCCAAGTGGGTTACCTCCTGGGGCTTTGTTAGTGTATGCGGTATTTTTAAGCTTGCAGGGAAACAATAAACAAAGGTGAAAAGAAGTTGAAGGGTCTATCCACACAGCCTGCTCCATGATACAAGGATTTAAATAGGGCTCGGTTTAGCTACAGGTGTGTTCCAAAAATAGAGCAGAACATATTGCCTTGGTTTATCTGATGCTGTTTGCAAACTTTTAGCTGCGAGGGATGACATTCCTGCACAGTTTGCAGTTATTGTTGGTTATTCTCTGTGTTTCAGAAGCCCTTGTGATATAGAAGAGCTTTGGCATGCCTCCTGCGGAGGCTTTTGGACCTCTCTTATTTGTTGACATTGCTCTGATCCTCTGCCAGTCCTTGGCTTTCTCATGCTAGCAAGAAGAATATCTCTCTTTCTGAAGCTCGCTTTTGTCTTTTCCGCAGAGGTGGAGAGGGGGTGATTGGAGGACACACAGAACAACATAGGGCATAATGAAAGAGCTTGTAGAGAGAAAAGAAGAGATGGGAGTAAAATGAGTGATTGCTGCCTGGCATCAGGAGGTGGTGGGAAGAAGGTGGGCCAGGGTTTCTGGGAAAGACAGAGAAAATGAATATGTGTCTTACGCCCCTTTACGTGCCATTTAGTGGAGCCACAGACAGACCTCCTATCTCCCAGCTGTTAGGATGCTCCAGAGTCTCCGGCACACAGCACCTATTGTTCTTCTTCTTGGCCAGGCCCACTGCTCTATAATACTGCCTCTGTCCCTGGGCTGACAGAGGGACACCAGGGCTCAGTTAGCCCATCTGACTGGGGCTCCTTGTGCTGTTCCTGCCACCGCCTCCACCACCTCCGGCCCTGCTTTGTCCCTAGATCTGTCCATTCTTGGTCGTGACTTAATTCCCTCTCGTAAGACAAGCTCAGATAAAGTAAGCCCTGACTTTTTCTCTTCCTCTTGTATTTTCCACATTTCCAGGGATAAGAGTTGTCATAGTGTGCCTAATCTTGTCACAACCCTTTATGCGACAGTATAAACCTGTTTAACTTTAATATAACAACTTTGGTGAGCAGGTGAAATAATCTCTTGGGAGTAGTGTCTGAGGTGTTTTACGGAGTTGAATGATGATAAACAGAAAGCATTTAGCTACTATGTAAACTTGCTCTCACGGCTAGTTAGCTGTTAGCTCAGTTAGCTACACTTTAATGACTGGGAGCTTGAAGCTCTGAGGGTGTTAAGCACAGGAGTTTTGGATCGCTGTACAATATCTCTGAACAGAAAATCTTATCTGCCCTCTTATCATTGTTGTCTTCCTGTCTCAAGTCGCCAGTAGTTATTTTCTTCTTCCCTTCTGTCACTTGCTTTGTATTCTTTCAGTCTGTTTGCCTCGGTATAGCATCCTTGCTCATTGTGATGACCTCTGCTCCAACTAGCTAGACCCCAGCTGCAATATTTCTGTCACTCACCACCTCACTTTAGGCTCTCATGAGTTTCAGAAAGAATGAGTCTTGCTGTTATAATGTTCAGCCTAGCAGGTAGATCGTGCCAGTTGCAGCTTTGCAAATAGAAACGGTATGATCATGCTGTCCAGCTTTTAAAACATATTTGTTAAGCTGAAAAACGTTAGTGTCATTACAGTCTAATGGTTCAGCAGATATCACACAAGCCAAAACAGGAAATAAGAAGATACATATCAGCTTTAAATATGTAGTTTCCAGAGGACTCTCAACTAATACGCTTAATGGCTGCTCCTGCAAACTATAAAAATGTCCTCTCGACTCATCAGCCAGTCATCGCCAGGTATTTGGGAAATGGAGCACCAAGGTGTCCTGTAACTGACCTGTCTTATTCTTTAGCTGAAAGCCAACATAAGCTTCACAATGGGATGAACTCTGAGGCCACTCCCCAGGTGTCATGTGACTGTTTGGATGGTAAACGTAGTCTGATACTTGGCTCAGCACAATGTAGCCTCCGCCTGCTCGAGGAGTGAATTGTATACAAGGCTCCCTTAGCTGCTGGCCTCACTGACAGTATAGGTGTGTTTGTGTGTAATATGTACAATGACTCTAGTTAGGGTGTTGTGTTTGTATTCGCAAAACAACGTTCCTGCCCATTTCAGGTCACAGTGTATTTCTGTGCTGTGCATCATTTCGCTCTAAATGCCGCCAAGTGACATCAAAACGATCCCTGCAGCTGCACTCAGAGCATGTGCATATTTGAATATATTTGAATGTACAAAGTTGAGCAAAACACTGGACTCCCCCATACAGTAGCTCTTCATTTGCCTGTCACTCGATCTCTTTGAATATATATGCGCTCTTTTCCTCTCCCTTGATTTCTGCCTTCCCTCTCTTTCACTGATGGGTTCTCATTGAGCTGGAACGGCCGATGCACCGGTCGTCGTGGTGATGTGGGATGATTGATGGAGGCTAGAGAAATGGGAGGAAAGGCATGTCGTTTATCCAGTCCGCGGCTTGAATCCCCCGTGTCAGGACTGAGAGGTCCGTATTCAATTACAGAGTACAGACACGCTGCTTTTTCATTAGGATTTCCATAAGCACTCGTTTTTCTTCTCGGTTCCTTCCCCTGCGCTGGGTCGAAGAACAAGGGGGAAAACAGTGAAGGATTAGAAGCAAGAAAAGTAGAAACAAAACATGCAATAGGCTTTTGCTTCACATAGGCATATGATGTACCAAACAATCACTTACAGGGATGCATTATGTATATATTTACGGCATATCAAGGCTAAATGATCAGCATGATACATGAAGCGCGGCATCTACACACTCAGATACAGAAGGTGGTGTTGGTTTGTGATCCTCCAATAAACACGGCAAGATCAGCAGACTCACTAGAGAGCCAAACATGTAGTCTCTGGTGTGGATGCTTTTATACAGTTTCAAAAGAAAAGGCAACGTGCAATTTAGAGTACGAGAAGAGGCATTACTGTTCTTTTGTTAGTTAGATTTGGTTAGGTCAGAGCTATGCAATATTAAATCCCCCATGGCTCTCTACCTCTTAAGCTTTTCTTACCCTCAGGTGTGCATACTGTAGGTTATGCATGTCTTAATCATTTGTTACTAGTCTGTATTGGTGATGAAAAGCAGGTGGTTACCGGTATAGACAAAAAAAAATCCATGTTGTA